GATAGAACTAGCTGTTAGCCACGTATGAAGAAGTTGTCATAACTCACTTCTATCTAAAGTTTGTCCTGATGATATTGTCTAGAAAGTCAATGAAAGCTTCAAATAAAAGCCATTCTGCTCCGAGAACGTAATTTAAGTGAAAGTTTTCTCTTGAGCTGTAAATCTTCTTTACCGTCTCAAACGTTTTTCAGCTGATGATAGTAGTTGCTGAAACTTACTTCCTAATAATTATTCTGTTAAAATTGTCCATAAACGTAATGTACTCGTGTAAAAGATGTGTAATCATTCCTATTTCGTGGTTGGTTGGCTACAAACATTTTACTCCACAATTCCCGAGGTATTTTCCGTGAAAAGCCAGTTTTAGTAGGTTTGTTCACTATTAGTATCTCTCTTTAGAAGAACCTCAATGTAATTGATAGTAAATCATTATGGTGACTGATGATTTCTTCTGAATCGGTATGAAAGAATAAACAATACAAAACGAAATTCTTTGCATCGTATTATTTTTCATTACCATTAGATTACTATCAACTATTACCTTTGTTTAATTAGTTTTTTGATGGACATACTAAAAAATCATATGCCCAATAGTGACTGCCTTGGAGATGGATCTCCTGGGATTCTAGTGAGAAGCCGTGACCAGTGGAGTCTAAACCGTGTCGGTTAGAGACAGGTATCTGCTTCAAACAATAGATGGATGGTTGTGCAAGATCATAGATTAATTAAAGTTAGACATTAACAGCTTTGGATGCCGGCTCAGTGATCTAGATGTTAGGCGCTCTTAAGACCATAGGTTCTGGGTTCGATCGTGGATGTTCACTGCTGAGGAGTTCAATACTAGGACTTTCAGGTTTTCCATAATGGCCTTTTTTGTAATCTAAATCAGCTTACGTTCATAATTAACAACCATCGCAGTATAAATCATCCTAAAAGAGTTGGTGATTTGTCTGAAGTTATATCATACCTCTACCACTACGGGATTTGAATCGACAACTGCATCTCTGTGCTAAGGTGGTGTGGCAACTCGAACTGATGTGCGTACGTACGAAGTTCTACGTTGTACTGACTGACTGACTGATATCATGCATACTACACCATTCACCTGAAAAATTAAATTACATTACAATTAAAGTATAAATAGCTACAGGTATTTAAAATCTCTCACTTTGGTCTTTTGTTTTTCAGTTTAATTTTATATATATTTAACATTATATGTTAGCCAAATAATAATTTATGTTATCCTATTGATTAGTTATCAAGTTAGCAATCCTAAATTATGTCTTATATGTGTCTGTGTATAAATCTACTAGAGAAGAATATAATTGTTCTGTATGAAGACCTGTTAACTAAGACAAATTGGATAACATAAAAATCTTTTATAAGCAAAGATGCTTGGTGGCTAGCAGTGGAATCCATGACGCGCATCTTGTCCTATTTGGGAATACCAAATGAATATAAATCTTTTGTTCGTTTTTCTATGTGTTAGATGGAGTCATGAATTCATATTTAAGTTATAGGAATTAATGTCAAATATTTTTGCTACACCAATTATCCTTTCTGTGAGTATTTCTATATGATCAACACTTATTATTTCCCAATTAAAGTAAAATAAATATGAATAAAAATAATATATTTGTAATATCCCAATGAGTAGAAAATTAGATTTCCTGACGTTTCGTGACTTAGTGTAAGCCACTTCTTCAGAGAATAAATAACCAAATTAAAACTAGTTCAAGTTTAAATAGTACAACGGAACAACAAAATTATCAAATCAAACCTTGGTAATGATACCTATAAAATAAATATGATTTCAGTATTGATAAACTTGTAGTTTAATAACTCGTTTCTTTAAAACCATATCGATTGAAGGCTTTCTGATATTTGCATCATAGTAAGAAGAAAATCCATTAGTTAGGATAATGGCTACTAGTAGAACTCATAACCCGTTTTGTACTACTTGGTATTTTGTCGGATGCTTGTATATGAGAAACGGTGTAGATGTTTCTGAAATTTAAATCTCGTATCCTGGTTCCCATTTCTATCCACAGTCAAAAATAATTAATAACATTCAAACTGTTATCATTATCGACCTTATATGGTAACTTGGACCAGTCACTTCAGACTGAATTTAAACCATACAACTAACGAAAGTGTATCTACTCAGTTTATTAGAAAACATTATCTGAGATATGTAGTTCTGTACAAAAATGAAATTGATACCCTATTACTTCGACAACATTTTAAACTAATTGTTTCCCTGAGTTAAACTTCTGGAAAAAATAACATCATCAATAAAACTCAGGAATAGATTTCTCATGGCTGTTCTGTCAAGCTACATATAATTTATTGTTGAACGAATGTTGTAAGGTTTTTGAAATAAATGTTTTATCGATATGATTAAATGGTACTTTCTATAGTTTGCTTCAACGAGTCAGTGTTGAAAATAATAAATTTTCAGAATTCGCGTACATTGTGCAACATGAATATAATAGATATATTATACCTTATGTAATGCAATCACTAAAATAAATCACTCAATAATTTGGTACATTTGAGCTTGATGTTCAGTGGTTGAAGAAAAGCGATCACATTACAAATACCAGCAGTAATTGTGACTTTCAGATTATTTCCCTCAGATATTTAGCACAGGATTATTAGTTAGCTTTTCACTAATATAATTTAATTAACTGATGTTAATTATTAGTAGACATAATAAAAATAGCCTATATACATTTATAGTAAATAACTTAAGGTAGGGCAAACATACTGGGAAGCTTAAATTGGTCGAAGCCATTTAGAGGTAGAATGCTACGAATCTAACATGTGATCTTGTATTCAAGGTTGTCTGTCTGTAACATTTTGATCTTGTAAATGTTAGTTAAGAAATCGTTCAAGTAATTAGTGATCAGTATTAAATCATAGCTTGACTAGTTACCAATGTTGAGTAATTTATAAACAGCTTTCTTTGTTCATCTTCGATGACCAAATCTGAATACCAATAAATTTTTGTATGTTTGTCATTTATCTTACTTCAAGTGGTATATATCTACGTATATAATTGTTAATAATAAAATGTATGATCTTTGTTAAAAAGAAAGTTTGTGAACAATTCAAAGCTCGTTGATTTTCATTATTGGAAATCCGCCTACATATAAGTTATATATGAAACTACACGATCAAACATACCGGATGATGACTGGAAGTTTGAAAATATGTGGATCATGAAGATCTAGACTAGGAGTCTTTGAATAACTAGTTTTCTACGCACCGAGTTGAAAAAAACGTAACTTATAACTAGATTTCAGTTTTTATTTAATTCATTTAGTGTCAAGTTATTCGTTTCGACTGAACCAGCTGTCGATCTATGCTAATTTACTAGAATTGATAGCTTGAGTAATTTATCTTATGGAGAATCTAACAGTGATATCGACTTATGAATTATTGGTAAACAGTAAGTACCGGACAGCTATTTCTTTCTGTGTTATTTTAAGACTCTTTGGAGTTTTTCTGTTGTACCATAGCGGTGTGGTAAAACTACAGTACTAATCCATGGTATTTCATTCGAATTATTTTTTAGCAATGAAACGTCTCATTTTATTGCACTTTTAATAATCTTAACAGGGAAATAATTAAATCGTAAGATTCTAATTATATACTGTTCATTTTGTTTAATCTGTCCAGGTGTAATGATCTTATTTACTCTTCTAAAGAGATTTAAGACCAGAGAGGTTTTGCACTGAGTGGATGTACTGAACTGAAGTCTATATAACGATTTGAATGAGCTGTCTTTCGGTAGATGGTTAGATTTAGAGATGCACTTAGATTTCTTTTAACTAACCAATCTAAAAAATAGCAGCGCACCGTGTTCATTTTCATTCTCGTTCGTAAATTTAATGTGAGATGAGAGTATATTGATCAATTTAGAAAAAAGGTCTTAGGTGAGTATGTTTTTACTGCAACAAAAGTATCATCTACATATCTGAGTCAAATTCATGGTTTAATGTCATTGGAGAATTAATAATAACAATTTACCGAATGCTCAACTTATTTGAAATCGTCAATTTAGACCTTGGTATTGACACCTATAAAGTAATTTTATTTACAGTTCGAATCGGAAACTAAAAAAATGATCAGTGCAAATAACTACAGATTACCGGTTCAATGTTGCCATAATTGGCTTATATTGATCTTATTATAACTGCTAGGTAATTTACCTACCTATCTAGTTAAAATAAAACGCTTGAATACTTTCATGTTAAATATTTCGGAGAAAATTTTTGTACAGTTCTTCTCATTAGAATCTTAGGTGGGATAACAAAAATGTCACTTAAAGTGGCAAAAATCTATCTATTCTTTATCTTTTTTTCAGATTTGAAGTCCCAATATTACTTTATTACTTGTTTTTTATTTTATATTCGTTCTTTAAAAAAATTTGATTATATTCAGGATAGTTGTTAGAAGGAGAGTGAAGGATACGGATTTCGTCCTTTTAAAGACTCATCAGCCGAGTGAATCTACCTCCCAGTGTCGACGTTCACACTAGCATTCAAATCCTGTGACACAGCTACAGAACTATGACAAAGACAAGTTGTATCGTCAACTTGCAGCTATAAGCACTTTCCCGACATTCATTCAAGAAGTTTATACGTCAATGAACATTAGTCGAATTTTATTTTAGGTACTGGTGATAAGAGAATATAAGTATTTACATATTCTTCATGTTTATTTTTTTTTACCATCGACTATGTTAGTTATCTCAAATTCATTACTGAATTTATTAATTTTCTTTATTTACAGTCATGTAAAGTGTAAAAACTTAAGATGATGAATAGTTAGGTCGGATTTAGAGTAATTTGTGTTTTAATAACTGATTGAGTGATTTGAATCTCTTAGTAAATTACAATTTTTTTCTTTGATTACCTCTCAATTTCTTAGAAAATCAAATAATTTATTGTTTTTTTGTTCACATGGTTACTTTTTATCATCTTTTTATTTTATAGGTTATGGTCATAGTACACCGAAAACATTTGGTGGTAAAATATTTTGTATGTGTTATGCTTTACCTGGTATACCATTATGTCTTATTATGTTTCAAAGTATTGGTGAACGTATGAATACAATTATTACATATTTATTAAAAAAATCAAATCTTATGTGTAAAATACATAAACTTATTTCACAAACACATTTAATGATTGTTAGTTTTACAATTGGTTCAATTGTATTAACTATTGGTGCAATAGTATTTTCACGTTATGAAGATTGGGATTATTTAGATTCATTTTATTATTGTTTTATAACATTGACTACAATTGGTTTTGGTGATTTTGTTGCATTACAACGTAATAATTCATTAGCTAAACGTCCGGATTATGTTGCATTTAGTTTAATATTTATATTATTTGGTTTAACTGTAGTTAGTTCAGTTATGAATTTATTAGTTTTAAGATTTTTAACAATGAATACTGAAGATGAAAAACGTGATCAATTAGAAGCAGCTGTACATGCACAAGAATTACAACGTTTACGTGGTGATGTAATATGTGCTGATAAACAAAATGAATTACAAACATCATTATTAACACAACAATTACAAGGAGATGATTATGAAAGAAAACAATTAAATAATTATCATAATTATAATCATTCAACTTATCAACAAAATATCAATCATAATATTATTAATTGTAATCATATTATGTCATTATCAAATTCAAATTGTTTCATAAAAACATCACCACCACCACCACCATCATCATCATCATCATCATCATCGTCAACAACAACAACAACAATAGCAATGACGTCAACAGTCAATAATTGTTTACTTCTTAATCGTCATACTGATACTTATCATATAAATTCAAAAAATGAAAATTTAACTAAATTTAAATTTTGTTTAATTTGTTTAAAAAGGTTTCATCCATTATCACAATCATTAGCATCATTATCATCACCGGGTATTTTAAATTCATCTTTGACTACAGTGAATGATAATTCACATGAAAATATGTTAAATAAACCAATTTCTACAAATAAGACTACTGCTACTACTAGTATTACCTATATTAATGATAATAATAATAATAATAATAATAGCAATAATAATAACCCATTCTTAATAAACTGTGTAACTGGTTGTCAGAATGAACAGTCAACTACACGTCATCCAATTCTAATCTATGATGAAATCTGTCAAAATGTTTCTTCGAATTTACATCAAGATAATTGTTCAAGTGAATTACTGAATTCATCAAATTCTCTTCAATATGATTTATGTTGTAGAAATCGTTACATCTATCCAGATTATATAAATTCATATCGTTATAATCCATATCATTCTTTTCACGATTCTAAATATTCTCCGTTAATAATACAACGATGTTCAGTTGATAATTGTAACTGTACAAATGAAAAACTACGAAATCATCAGTATTTCATTTCTCCTGAAGAATATTTAGTAGATAATCGGCAACCAGAAATTATAGAAGGAAATGAAACAATTGAGAGTGATAATCTGTCCGAAAATAAGAGTAGTTCGTTTAATGATATCGATTTAATCCAATCCCATTTTCATTTGATGTCTTCTTTTAAGCCGCATACTTATGATTTCACTTCACCGGGTCATTTCAGTTTGCCTGGTAGGCATAAAAATACTAATGAGGTAATGTCTACTCCAGTACATTCCTCTTTAGTTGCTCATGTTTTAAAATCTCATAAGCATAACTTTAATAATCAATATATTCTACCTCCAAGACAGTCTTTAAACAGTCAACCACCATTATCATCAGGAGGCGAGACGATACATCCATTGTTATCTTTATCAAAGCATCATCATATGGATGTACTCAAATCTAATCAGCCATTAATAAATCCGTTTCCATTAGAATTTTTAAATTCACGATCAAACGAAAATGAAATAGTCCTTAACTCAGTCCCATATTTTCAATGCAAACGGTATCCTAGAGTTCATCAGGAACAACAGATGAGAACGAATGAAACGAATGATTATGGCGAAGGAAGCGTTGATTTTGACAAAGAATACAGTAACAAGCGTCCTAATCCACATTATTATCATGATGATATATTACTAACAAATGATGTAAGTAGCATCGATGATGAGATAAAATTTTCTGCCGATTCATCAATTTTTGAAGTCGGTCAGTCGGTGTCTACAAAAAGATCTGCTTCTGTTTGAAGAATAGGAGAACAATTCAATCAAACAAATATGTAGTCATACTATTTTCTTGTAAAAAAATTCAGACTATTAACATTATGGAATGTGAACATGATAATTAGATATCTTTTTATGATTTTATGTAATTGTTACATTTTAAAATAAACTATTAAGCTTTCAGGTTAGACAATATATCATTCTCAGAATAAACTTTATTATAATCACTTTTTATTGATGAGTTTGGTTCAGTATTAAGTATACTGTATTGTAATATACATTAAAATTGTATCAGTATAGGGTTGCGGAGATTAATAAAATTTTGATTGAAATCATGAACTGATTGATGTTAGACCGCCATTGAAAACCTAGAAGCATTAAACAACCGTTTCGTCCTATTGTGGGAATCCTCAGAAGTGCGCAGCCACGATCCGAACCCCGCGAGCAGTCACAGAAAAGTGTTTCTTTTTTTTATTCATTAACGATTGAATTCACTTTTACCATACCATACGATCGATTAATCTGTTATAACTTATGGTTTGTGTCCTCGGTTCTTCGTTTTCACCCTGTCTCCAATTGTTGTAACTTGTGACCTGTGTGCACTGTTAATGTATGACGTAACGATACCACCAATCAGGGAGCAGTGAATTATCGATCGGACCAGTGGCGCATAAAACACATACAAGCAGCCTAAAGTCCTGATTGGTTCTGCTTCCCACCTAGCCCAGCCAGTTAAGTCCAGAACACCAATCTCAGCCTCTGCGATATGATTCATTTATTTCAGACATACGGGGTTTATATACTGATCAAACAGACCACAACGTACCATAAAACAGGAAACATCATTTGTACAAGATTTGGCGAAGTGTGACTGTGAATATGGGAGGTAGTGATTAATAGACAGGGCATAACTGAAGAACTGTAAATCGTATAATAATAATTCATAGGTGAAAATAATTCTCATAATAAAAGGGGCATGAATATGAATAGTTTAGTTATTTAAAAATTATACTATAAACATATACGCATGGTATTTGTCCATAAATGGATCCCAAAAGTTACTATTCATTATACTTATCGGGACATAATATAATCAAAATGAAATTTTACTCATTTAATGAGCTTTTTTGTAAAAAAAGAAAAGCATGATAAGATGTACTGGTTTCTTCAAAAATGATAGAAATATAATTGTATCTGTAAGTTCTTAATTGTGTAAATGTTAATACACGTCCAACACTAATACAACTTCAACTATAATACTTCTTGTAATTTAAAAGGGATAAATTCAGTTATAACTAATTTTCTTCAAATTACATCATAAATATTTGTTAAAACAAGATTATAAATTTAGGTTAGTAATTGGCAAATTATTATTTTCAAATCTTATTCACTCAAATTTTTCTTTTCTTTTTGAATTTATTCTTTGTCTATATTTAATAATATAAACAAGCCAATTATGAATGACGTAAACAGTCCAAGAACATTTATGAATCAAGTAAATTATCTTCGCATAATGTTTTGTTTATAAATAGCGTTCATTACTATTATTTAAAATGATAACATTAGCAACAACATAAAAGAAACATTGATTATTAGCTTTAGAAATTTCTAGAAGTTTGGTGGTATCCATGTTTATCAACCGTCAATAAACATATGGACGTTGACTCAAACTACCGTTAATACGGATAGGTTAATAAATATTATTGGAAGAAATCAATTACATTAAGATTGTTAGAGTGAAATGCTTTCAAAAAATGTTGATATAATCTGAGGAAAAGTTTTAAACTGAAAGTATAGGTTGCAAGCTTATTTTAATTGAAAATGAATACCCTTTTCTTCAACATAAAGGTATTTATTTTATTTATTTATGGCTATGCAAGTTTATAATAGTTCTATCACAAGAACCTTAGAGGCTCTTAGCTCGGGTTGAAAAGTCTATCCAGTGATATATGAATCTATTTAATTGTAACCAGTGTTAAGTGATTTGTTACTTGATACTAATCAAATACTACTGATCAATTTGAAATAGAACCATAAGATCAAGTGACTCATTATCGTAACACACTTCATTTGATATCGTTGTAAGTAATCAATAGAAAGCCATGAATATAGGTTAGATTATAGCTTATACAATTCATTAAAGCATATCTATGATTTTGAATGAAATGATGCTACAACTACAGAGGTATACCCGTGTTTAAAGTATCCTAAAATAGAAATATGATGTTCTTACTGATTGTTCATTCAATAGAAGTTAATGCCATATTTGTTCATTACTTAATTCAGATCAAATTCTCTTAATCAACCTGCATGCATAATTTTTAAAAAGATTCATGATAGTACTTTTTAACAATATGTTATAACCGTTGGATTTCGACGTTTACATGTATGGGACGTTAATTTAACTTAGACGAATATCTACACTAGATTCTCTCCCAGTGCCTATTCTACATGACATCAACACAACTCAGATTAAGAACACATGATTAGCCTGGCTAGGACGTGAATATATTTCCACACCGAACCCCGACACAATCCAACAACAATGAACAATTAATAATAATTATTATTATAAGGATAGGGGAATATATAACTCATATGACACCTGTCAGAGTATCTACATGTCTGACCAAGCAGACAACCAAATATTATCATTTTCACTCACGTATCACAATATACCCTATTTAGTTAATGATAGTTATTAAAAAAAACACTCATTTGAAATCAAATAATTACATACACTTTTACAAAAGTTAATTGAAAGTCAAGTGAAATAATGAAAAATTAGATAAACATAACAAATAAACTTTTAATTTGACTTGTATCCATATATATATTCGTAATTATTTTTAACTAATTTCTTCAATAACAAAACTCATACTTTGAACTGTATATTGTCATTCATCCAACAAGATCTGTAGTTTTGTTACCTTTGTTCTTTTCTTAGATTTATCTGTATAGTTTTATCTACATAAAGATAATTTGATAATGATTTATCTTAACTAGAGTTATTGAAAGTAGTCTGAAGTGTTCTCCAACTCAATTGATTTATTACCTTTAAAATATATATAAGAATAAATTGTATGAGCTCAAATGTTATTATAAATTAGTCTTGATAAATTTTTATCATTTGTTTATGAAATAACATAATATAGTAGAATGCATAGTCATTTTAACTGATGCATTACAGTATCACAGCTGTATTTCATTACAAGAATTTCTTAATAAGTAATTATATGGGATTAAATATATATATTACTCTTATTATTACCATTATTATTAATATTATTATTATTATCATGAATATTATTATTATCATTACTACTATTATCATTATTGTTATTATTATGATTATTATTGTCGTCACTAATATTATCACTATTATTAATATGAGTATTGTTATTATTGTTATTATTATTATTATTATCGCTATTACTATTATCGTTATTATTATTATTTATTCAGCTGGATTTACCATTCAAAGTTAGAAGTATCATGAACGATAGACTTTCTCTAAGAAAAAAATTTAAGTTTTTGTCTAAAATGAAATGAAAGAAAAAAGAATTTTTGTCATTTGATCTCTATTAAAATATTTACTGGAGCATAATTTTTATTTATCAAAATAATCCCTTTCATGTTACCACCAACTGTATATACAAATTTACATGTATCTGCCATAGCAGTTATATTGGTAAAATAGAAAGGAGAGCCTACATCCGATTCAAAGAACATATTCCGAAAAGTTTAAGATTAAATGGATTGAAAGCATTCAAGAATTCCATCGCAAGACATCTCCTTGACACAGGACACGAAGTCGACACACTGAAGTCCTTCAAGGTGATTAATAAACAATCAAGCTCCAACCTTCTGAAATTTGCTGAAGCATTAGCAATCAAACGTCTAAAACCAGACCTATGTATACAAAAAGAGACAGTAATAAATCTTCAAAAACGAAGAATATTTGAGCGAACAATTGTTTTCAATAACTTCATCATCAGGCTCTACAGTTATAAGTCCATAATTATAATATTTTACAAAGGCCAAAAATAAGGCATGTTTTAATGAGTTTGACAATGTTATGTGTTAAAAAATGGTGAACGTTTGCATCTGTTACGATATATATATACTTCAAAAAGAAAAAAATTGTAATATTGGCAAATTAGAAAGGTCATTCAATAAAGGTCAGTAAATTGTTCAGTCACAATAAGATAATAGTACTATTACAAAATTGAAAATAATTTTGTCAACTGAGATAATAATAATATTGTTGTGTGAATATAATATGTAATAAGGGGGGGGTGTTATCAAGGTAATTACGGTCAACAAATTGGGAATGATGGATATGAAGATTAACATATAGATAATGACAAATAATGATAATAAGGAAAATAAATAAAATAAAGGAAGGGGTAAGAGGTTTATAATATTCAGTCTAGGTATTCGGTGACCCAGTCGTAGGCCAGGGTAAACATAGAGGCTGGATATATTTTTTCTGGATGCATAAATTAGGTCTTCTGGAGTTGATCCAGATGGCTTCAGCTATGTAAAGCAGTCGTAATCTAGCTCCTTAAGGTAGATATTTTGGAACTTGATATAAAACAGAGAAAGCTTCCTCTATTTTGATATGATGTTCACTATCTACCAAGTGAGAACGAATGGTGCTGTTAATCGATTTGGTGACTCCTTTTCCCAACCATGCTGGTACATGTTCACGAACACGCAAGGATGAAGCCCTCTGAGTAGGGCCTATGTAACTAGCTCCACAGGAGCAGTTGAATTGGTATACACACATGGAGGAGCCCATCTTCGGTAACCTATCCTTGATTAGTTGTGTGAGTACTGGTTTAGTCGAGAAAATTGTGTGCAACTTGGCGGCATGAAACGTCCTCTCTACAGATCTTTTGAGTCGACATGTTAGAATATCACCCGCTATGTCGCCTTTAATAAATCTTCCTTTACCCTGGTAACAATAATCCCCCTTTTTATTCATTTATTTCTGTTTATTTATTTATTTAGTCATTATTGCAACTCTTTCTGAAGTTTAAATTACTTCGTGCATAACTGACTGATTTTAATTCATATTTTCTTTATTACCATTAATCTATTTTCATGAGTTCTCATCACTATTTCAATGTTCCGGAACTTTTTCTCTCAAACTCTATTTATTCGAGACAAAATTTTATGACCTCATTAACTCTAACGAAATCTTTACCACATTATGTTA